CAAACCAGGCGGAAGCTACCTCTCTGTCGCTCAGCGGGATCGATTATACGTTGCGAGTCAACTTCATAGCTGAGCAGCGAAGATAGATCCACATGCTATGTGCTGGTCGCTCCGGGTGCCTTTACCTATCAGTTCCAAGTGCAGACAACCATGTACGATGCATTTGGCAGTTCCTGAATCCCGGCTTCTTCAGAGACACTACTCGGAATATCCAAAGTTACTGAAGGTGTTCTTTCGGTTGTTATGAGCCAATGCGCCTTATGTACAGTATATACCAGCTACTGTTGAAGGCAAAGCGTGAGGTCGAGGGAACCTTGGAAAGATGGCCGATACCGCGACAAGTCACGGAGATCACTGCGTGCAGGCATGAATGACATCATCCCTGGCTTATCCTCATTTTAATCCCCACAAGGCGTAACACCAGGCGTGGTTTTTCGGCGAACACCATACCACGCTTCGCATGATGCGCCCGATCTGTTATTCCTACCTCCGACCGCAATTCAAAATACACGGAGGAAGAAAAGGGGCACCCACGACGTTAGGCTGCATAATAACCGTTTGGCATAAATCAACAGAGGCTTCCTTCCGAAGACGAGGGAGAAAAAAGCCTTTGCGGAAGGAAAACAATATAAGTAGTATTACCTACAAATTATTAAAAGAAACGCATCGCGTCCGAAATACAGTTGAAAAATGGGCCTCCCTCCTCACACCCCTCACTCCACATACAACACAAGCATGCAGATAACTGAACAGCTCGATTGGCAATAAATCGCCCACACTGGAATTGGATCCTTTGGGGCTCCTCCTCTGACTAGCTAGCTATCGATGACTTCATCGGATCCCAGCAATGCTGGCCTCAAACGCAATATGGAACAGACTCGTCTGCTTGGGCATAAGCACTGTCCTAGTTAAAATCATTTATATCATACTTAATGCGCGGTTTCCAAGCTCATGCGGCTGGATGAAGGCGCATGATGGTTCCCGAAAGTTGTCTTTTTACTCTGTGAGTTTGTGGAGCCGATGGGCTTTGAAAATTACGCAGAGGGAAGGGGGCATTTCGAGGATCATGCGAGTTTAATATATATATATATATATATATATATGTATATGTATGCTAAGGTCGCTCTAAAACGAAAACGAAAATAATATGGGCGGAAAGCGTAGGCAGTAAGTGAAAGGGACAAGAGAAAAGGAAAAAAGAAATAGGAGTGCAGTGAGAACTTGGTAGTGAAGCCAAAGGAAGATGAAGAGAAGATGAGAGAAAGGATATAAACAGTCTGGGAAAGAGGCTGGAGGAGGAAAAATTAAAGGGTGAGGGAGGCTGTACAAAATGCCAGTAACAAATGTCTGAAGTAAACTTCTGAATGATGCAGCCTGACACCTTAGAAATGCAACACAAGAACTAAGGAAGAGGAGAGAAAGGGACTGAGAAGGGGATGAGAACAACAAACGGGCAAAGTAAAGGGGAGAATAGGGGAACATACACTTACGTATTTAAGAGGCAAATGTTCTAGGAAATATCGGGAATCCGAGTGTCAGCTTAAAATACAAAATAGGAAAAGGTATTGAAAAAGTTTATAAACGAGGATACTGGAAAACGGGTATAGGCACAGCGTGTGGAGATGCACCACCGAACGACGATCAGTTGCTACAGTGTGGCATTGCCAGTTAGTATGAGGGATGTAAGAGCAGGTCTCGAAGAGAAAGCTTACTATATTTCCAAAGGAGATATCTGATCGAGTGTGTATAGCCAGTTTCCTCCTTGTTCCTCTCGTTCCAGCCTATGGCATTAGCAAAACCGTTAGTTCGCAGATATCCCGAATGTTTTGTTTTGGCTCAAGTATCGAAACAGCGCCACTACTAACCATTCATACGGCCAAACTATAAGATGCCCCTGTATCAAATTCATCAAATCTTCCGCTTCAGCCTTCGATATGATATCGTCAGAAGCATGGAATTCCCGCCGCGATGAACGGGTGGTTGCTCTCCGTCTCCGCCTTTGGGACTGCGAGGCTGTCGGGCGCAGGCTACCGTCTGCCCATTTCTGCGGGCTCCTTTCTACCTCAGGGAATGATGCTATCACGCCATCCAAATTCTGGCTGGAGTGCGACGATTTCGTCTCCGTCGCCTTTAATGCATCTTTTTCTCCCTGAGATGTGCCAGGCTCCTGGTGGGAAAGCTCGAACCTCTTCCTCTCGATTTGGGCTTTGTTTGCTTCTGAGGCCCAGTGTCTCAAATCCTCTTCGGCAGCTAAGGTATCGCATTTAACTGGGTTCAGGACTTTATCTTTCATATCATGCCCCATCTTTTCAGCCTTTGCCAGTTGGTTAGGGATCAGGGCAGAGCCAGGAGGACCAGTTACTTTGGCAGCTTCTAGGTTATTTTTGGCTTCGTGAGCTTTGGCCTCATAGTGGCTTTGGCCCTGCATATCAGCGAAGCGTTCAGCATAGGCAGTATATTCTTTGTATTCCTTCCATGTTTTGACTTCGTTATCAGGCATACAGCGAAAAACACTGCGATATAATTTTGTATTGTTTTCTGCTATTGCTTGCCAGATATCCAAATAAAATGAGTCATTCAAAGGGTCCCTCATGCAGTCCTTATCCACCACTGGGAGTTTGATTTCAGACGAAACTATATGTGTTCTGTTAGGGATATCTTGGGAAGTTTGCAGCGAGGGATTACCGGCATTGCTAGATAGATCATAAGCCGTAGGCTGAGTGGATGGTCTGGAACTGGGAACACTTGGATCAAAGTTCTTCGCTGCAGCTGGTGGGGAATCCTCGTGCTCGCCGTGATCTCCGGTCTGAGACGGTAGCTCTTTGGGAACATTAGATTGTCTGCTTCGGCTGTTAGGATCTCCAGGTGATCCTGGGCCAAGGAATTCTATCCTATCATCCACAATGAACGAGTCACGACCATCACCATGACCTGCCTCCTGAATACTCTTCATTTGGTCGACACCGTAGCCCTCCAGATCCTTCTTGTGGTCCTCATTCCTCATTACTCTCGAGTCCTGGGTGAGCTTTTTGTTACTCTTAAGATTGGGGTTGTTTGCCTGTTCCCAATCAACATCGTGGTTGAAACTGTGCATTTCTTCCGATCTAGCAAGGAATTCATCTTGTATTCGGTGTCTTCGTTCTAATAACTCTCTCTCATCTTGTCTTTCTGTAGCCTCATCAAACTCACGATCGAGCATATCGTCGCTGTAGTTGTAAGGAGTATTTGGTTCCCCTCGCGCATTCATTTGGTCAGATTCAGCTTCGGCTTGTTCCATAATTTCATCGACGTCCAAGCCGATATGCTCTCTCATAAGCCGCATCCGAAGTGTGTGAGAGAAACGACCAACAAGGTACGGCTTGCCGCCCATGGTGGACCACAGCAGATCTGTATCTCGAACGATTGCAGCACACTCGGAATCTCTTGAACCAAGCATAGAACGCTCGTTGATATTAGCAGAGCCAACTATCGCAACTCGATCATCAACGATCATGCACTTGGCATGAATATACAACTGCTCTGTTACTAAGTGTTTCCGTGGACCGATCTTTCCCCACGATCTTAGACTGAAAAATTGGATGTAGTCTTCCGGTTCGATTCCGGAGGCTCGAAGTCGGCCGAATATGGATGTCTCTCCGCGACAGATGCTTCGATATTGACATTGCATGATTAAACGAACACTAGTACCTCCCTCCGTATCAACCTGATTTTGGAAACCAGGCATAAGAGGTATCAGGATCACAGCTCGCCATTCTTCATCACTCCTAGATGCTCGAATAATACGTTCCACGAGAGCATCCCCAATAAGGTTTTCAATCTTCTTTCCTTCAATTTCACAACTGGTAATGAAAAACTGGTTTTCGATGTAGACGAAGTGCTCCGACTGTTCAATCATCTTGACATAAGCATTCATGATGCTGTGTTCAGTCACGTCAGGTGTTCCGGTTGACCAAGTGCTGCTTGAACGGAGGATCTGAACCTCGCAAGTGCCATCAAGGCCAAGAGATTCCAAATCTGCAGGATTAAAATCCGGCGGAGGTAGCAGGAATGGAGTTGGCCGAGTAGGTTTTCGTTGTCTTAGAATGTAATTCCATCGCTGAACAAAATGCCTTGTGAGGTCGCGAGCCGGCTGTCCTACCACATGCATGGCAATGTCATGCCACGGCATTCTAGGAACAACCTCGCGGTCGTACATTTCTTCATACGGTTTGTCGAGGTCATAGAAATCCTGAATTCTCGGGTTCGAATAATCTTTCCCAGGCCAGAGCTGACAATGATCCGCATCTTTAGGCACATCAGTCAGTTCAAATCCTGTCAACTTGTCATCTGTAAGAAGATGTTGTGGAGTATCCCATCTCCCAAAGCAAAGATCAATTCCTCCAATGAATGCAAGAGTATGGTCAACCAGACACAGCTTCTCGTGGTGAGCCCAGAAAAAAGTATTTTGTCGAAACTGGTTGGGAGATCTTTGCACGAAGATATTCGGGTGCAGATCAAGCAAAGAAAATTTGGAGTACTCAGAATCAATAGGAATGGCAGAGTTGATGTTTCGATACATTATCACAAAAACCTTGACGCCCTCCTGCGCTTTCTTTTGAAGCAATCGATCGAGCCTCCATTTCTGGCTAATAGCAGCTGGCCGCCGCATGTAGAGCTCGGGACTCAACCACCAATCATGGATATACACGACGTCTTTGGCCTGGTTTATGGCGCGGGATACCACCCACATATAGTCACGGCCATCGACTAGCCATTGAGCGAAACAATTTGGACGCACAGGAGCAAAGCTATCGAACCTATTAGGTTTCGACCAAGGTGTGGTATCCATCATGAATCGAATAGAGTCTTCAAACTGATGTAACTGACGTTCATTTCGAGCGAGCAATCTCAATTTACGTTCGGAGTTCTGAAGTTTTAGTGTATGGTGCTGTGGATGCGCAGCCGACTCTTTTGCGGATCGAGCTAATTGTTTAGGTTTTTGGTCACGTAGCCGTACTTTCTGGTGCTGAATTTGGAAGAAAGGATCTACCAAAAAGACGTCGTAGATGTTCATTTCTTCAGGTGAATCAACACAAACAACATAGCTATGTCGTACCAGGAACCATTTCGGCGAGTGTCGCGATTTTATCATGGCTGGATTGAGTGCTCTCCGGAAATCAAGTCCCTTCGACGATTGAATAACGAGGAACCCCTCCTTGCCATGGTAACTACCTTCCGATGCCAGCCTAACACCTAATGCTGAAAGTTCCAAGAATTTGCAAAGTCTGTTACTGTCAGGGCGAAAAATGAGGAAACGGATCATTTGCTGTAGATAGATCTCGAGTTTTTTCCGTTGGCGTTCCGGGTACGATTCCTTTTTAATCCCTCCAATGGACGCAGCGCGCGTAATGCCTGACTCCAAGACCCCCGACGCACCACTTTCCACTGGAGCAGTCAAGCTCGACCGTCTCCGGGAAAGACCTAGGGACGAGCGTCGTTTCTTTTTCCTGTTTACTTTTTCGTTACCACTGGTACCATCTCCTGCAGTTTCAAAGCCTCCTTCATCGGCTTCTTCTTCCCCCTCACTCTCCAGACCGCGAACACCCCGTAGGTAAGGGAAGGCGCTTCTTGGAAAACGGGGTAAAGGGTGCGCTGAGTCATGGGCTTTAAGCTGAATATACCGCATGGTCCCAATTTGGAGTTTATACTTTATATGTAGGTTGGCGAAATCCCTGAGAGTTCTGTTAATTACCCATTTCATCCGTGTCATTCCGCTGCCATATTCTAGTTCTATTCGGAACGTCAAGTGGCGATCACTAGAGTGTGGGTCAAATTTGCTGTCCGTGATATGAACCTTTAGCTGCTCAAGAAGGATAGGGATACGCCTGCTTCCATGCTCGTCCCTTTGGAACATACTTGCCAACAAAAGAGCAGCGGGGATGCCAGAGATAAGCTCGGCGAGTAGCTCGGCAGACTTGACATGGTCTACTGTGGTTTCGACCTTTTTGCGGTGACCGATCATTTTTAGCCCTGCTTTAATCTGTCGCCATCTCTGAGCACTAAGGCTGGACCCTCTTTCTGCCTTGTGTCTTCTCCATGTTGCAGTAAGACCCTCACCATGGTCAGGCTGGCCACCAAATCCTGTTAAACGCCGAAAATTACTAAGCCTTTTCTCATCTTGAGAACCTCGACCTTCCGTCCGACTTGGACCGCTGTAACTTAACCCGCGAGCGCTATGGAGCCATCCGTTTCGTCTTCTCCACATATTATCACGTTTTAACCTTTCTCGGCCTTCATCTTCAGAAACCCCGTCACGTGTCGGAGTGTGTGGTTCAGTCCTGCGAGAGAAATGGCTTCCGAAGAAATTGTCTCCATGAGTATAAGAGCCGCTTGGATGGAAACTTGGCCGCGCACTTGACTTTGGGGTCGTAGGTGCAGTATGGGACCCCGAGCCACGTTGTCTTCGGATTTTCCGCTTCCTTTTAGGTATACCAACCGCCTGTTCCCCAGAACTTGACTCCGCATCCGCATCCATCTCGCTTCCTTCCTCCTCAAGAGTGTTGGGGAAACGGAATTCCCCTCTTTCTGATCTTGGAGTGGCGGTATCTCCAGGTGGTCTAGGCTCCGCGGATTCATCCCCTGTAGTTAGGCCACTGGAGGTACGGGCATGTGTTGGGAAGGGAGGGGAGGTAGCGAATGTTTTCAGTTTTGAGAACAGGGACGAATGAAACCGGCGGTCCTTCTGGTCTCCATCTTCTGGGCCGATGGAGGAGGCCCTGGAATTCGATCCTCCTTCAACGTCGGAAGCGGTTCGAGCAAACTGCACACTCCGCCGCCCCTGTGGAGTTGAGAAGCCATGTTGCCTCTGCTGTTTTCCCTTTCCAGATTTAGTCGATGGGTTTCGTGAGGGAATGGAAGCAGGCTTAGTCTGATAAGGTATGTTTCCTTGGTGTCCCGAAGCGTCGATATCACGCGCGGGCTGTTCTGAGCTTGGAGGTTCGAATCCCGTGCCCAACTCTACAAGCGTTCCGGGGGCTCCATATGTCCCATTGATTCCGTTCACAGGATCTTTCTTTAGGTCACTCGAGTGCAATGTTTCGTCTTCCAAGGAGGTAGTGAAGCTCGCCCCGTTCGTGGAAAGAGTGTGAGGCATCGTAAGCTTCAAGTTTTGTGGAACACTCGACCGTTGTGGCGACGAAGATTGCTGAAGTCCCTCTGTCATTGATGGCGCTGAGTCTTCTCCCATTGTGGCGGGCTTCCTAGATAATAATAATATTCATTGTCAGGGGTTTCCAAACTTTAACAGAGGTCAGCAGCGAGGAGGTTTATAAGAACTGACTACTTGAATAAACAAAGGAGCTAAGGCTGTTTATGAAAGTATCATTACGATATCTCGAACCCTAAGGTTGCGGGCCCGTGGCGGTCCAAGAATAGCAGATCTGGAGACAGAAATCTATCAGAAGCCTTGATCTGATGATAGTTCTCTCCTTGCCTAAACCTGGATATCTTGGGAGTTACAACGAGAGTGGATCCCACTTGAGGCTTACCTAATAATATTATTTTCTGTTGGCCCTAGGCTGCCTATCACGGACTAGCGCACCGCACATACTGTATATGCCTCAGCTGCCGACATGCTAATACAACCACTTAGACGTCCCACATTTTCCGAAGATGAAACACGTGACTTTCATTTTAGTGGACCTCGGACTCCGAACAATTCAAATATTTCGGCAGACTGGATATAAGATCGATATTACCCGATGAGAATGCAATTGCTTGATGGCTACAAAGTATGTTGCGCAGTCCTCTTACCTTGGAAACACGCCACAGATTAATAATATGGCCTCCCCAATTGATCCAATGTTGAAAACCTACTCTCTGCCTGCTCCGCAGGTGTCCAAGAAACTGTTCCCAATTGCTGGAATCCTTTGCTCCATCTATGGTCTGGATGAACTCCCTATGCAAGCTAAGGAGGTATCATGTCTATACCTCATGCACCCACGACTGAGCACGGCAGATTCAATGGAAGGCTTTGCGTGCCATGCTATTGCAGATTGGAACAACAGACTGCGGGAGGGGCGAGTGTCCGTAAGCCAGCAAAACAAGGGTCTAATTGCGGTAGCATTTGACCAACGGAATCATGGATTGAGACTCGTTGACAAGCTGTCAAACTGCGCTTGGAAGGAGGGAAATCCTAAACATGCACAGGATATGTTTGCTACGTATCGTAGGTGTACTACTTATTTTCCCTCAATTTTTTGCTGGAGATCGGAAACAATAAAATACAACCACACCATGCTGCCATATCTATCGCTCTCACCAGTACTAATACAAATCTGTAGAGGGCACGGCTCGTGATGTCTCCCTCTTAATAGACTTCATGGACACCTATGCCTTCCCGGATGCCTCACGCAAAATCACAACTAACCTTGCCCTCGGTGTCTCTCTCGGTGGCCACTCAGTATGGAACTGCCTCCTACACGAACCCCGAGTCACTAATGCCGTCATCATCATTGGCACCCCAGACTACACAAGCCTAATGACTGAACGTGCCAAACTCTCCAAACTATCCTCTTGGAAAGATTCCACACCGCCAGGCTCCCAATTCCTCGGCTCCGAATCCTTCCCACAGTCGCTCATGGATGCCATCAGGAAATACGATCCTGCTAGATTCTTCCTGAGCCAGCTGGGCAACCCTATCGTCTCAGAACCCATGCTCCATGGCATCCTTCCCGAACCCACCGATCATGAAAAGAAAGTCATCGGCCCACTCATAACACGGTGTCTACAGGGGAAAAGAATCATGCTGATCTCTGGTGGTAAGGATAAGTTGGTCCCATACGCGCGAGGAGAGCCGTTTCTGATGTGGCTGAAAAAGGCGATTTCGCCAGGCGGGTGGTTTGCCAATGGAGCTGTGACTTTAGAGGATCTCATATTTGAAGACGCGGGACACGAGGTTACCCCCGCGATGATGGAGCAGGCAATTCGGTTTATTGGGGAAACCCTTGCAACGTGCGCTGAGAGCGCGCAGCCCAAGGTGCTCACGTCGAAGATATAGAAGAGCCACGTCCTAGATTAACGTCGCTGACACGCATATACAAAGGTGTCCGCGATGATTCTTTTGTAGTACCCCAGGAGACGATATCCACGTTCCTGTAGGTAATGAACCTATGAGAATGGGACATTTGAAATAAATTCACTCGGATTTCTCCATATACAATCCATTGATGTCATGTCAGCGGCGCGTGCATATAGACACAGTTCCTTGTCAGACACAGCCAAAAAAGTAGCTTTGAAAAGAATGGAATCAGTTGTTTTTCATTCCACTTGAGGTATTCTATCTTATATCGTAGTTTTTTTTCCTTTTGCCTCTTTTTCAATAGGAAAGGAATTAAAGCTTTAAGTTTTCGAATGCACCATGATAGAACCCTTATGCTCCAGCCCAATTTCTTTCGCACTTTGGCATTTGGCGGAATAACGGTAACCTTGGTGCTTTCCGAAGAAGTGATCCGTGACACAAAGTCCTTTTATTCTTTTCTCTTTCATGAAAAGTATCAAACCTGACACTGCTCTAACAGGCCTTGACACAAAAAAAAAAAAAAGAATAGAAAATTACATGCGTTTAAAAAGACCACCCTTAACACCCATCCATTATAATTTGCATCCAAATCAAACAATTCGCATGCAACACACCATGCACACATCGTATTTATGCAACGAGCTCAGCAACACCACCAGCCTCTTTGATCTTCCGCTCAGCCTCTTTGCTGAAATATCGAGCCCGAACAACAACGGGAATCTCTGGGAGTCTGCCTTTGCCAAGGACCTTGGAGTAGCCGAGAGGGAGCAAGTCGAGAACGGGGGCGGTATTTGGTTTCTGGTTGTTCACATAGGCATCACGGGTTGCGACGGGGATGAGTGACCATAGCTATACACCCACGAAAATTCAATCAGCCTCTACGTTTACATTCCAAATGGACACCAATTCCTTGTGCATCGCCTATATCGCCGATATCTTTTTGATTCGTTCCATTTGTTTTTCCACCCAAAAGCTCCATTCCTCCTGACTTCTTCTCTCTTCCTAGTAGTTTCCCACTTCAATCCACCCGAATGAACAAGGAATCGAAAGAACGTACCTTATCAAGGTTTATGATAGGTTTCCAGAACTTATTCTGCGTCTTGTGGAAATATCTCATGCCGACCTTTCCAAAGTAACCTGGATGGTACTTGTCTAAATTAGTCCGGTGGTGGTGCTGGCCACCAGCCATACCGCGGCCACCGGGATGCTTGCGGTGTTTTCCAATTCGACCGTAGCCAGCGGAAACATGGCCACGGCTAAATTAAAATAATCGAAAAAAAAAAAGGATATGGTATTAGCAATCGATAATTAAAAGCGCTCTAGCGTTTGATTGCTGATTTCGATGTTCATTGGAAACATTGCGGTTGGAGGGCGGTGCAGTGTTTTTGATCAATCTCTTGTGGACAAGCACTTAAAATAACTCACCTCTTTCTCGTCTTTGAAAGTCGGGTAGGCATCGTGTCGACGATATTGGATTCGACAAGGCTGTCGGGGTGTTGAACGTTGAGATGAGTTTGACGACGTTGGTTGCAAGCTCAAGGCCCCAGAGGTTCATGATGTCTCGCTTAATGTGTGTGTCAGGATTTTCTTGTTAGGGAAGTTGTAGGGCCCAAGCCCTACCTTCTCCAAGAAGGAATTTTAGATTCAATCATGTGACATAAAATCCATCCGATAGATAGAGCTGTGATTAAAACCTCGGTAAATGTAAACAAAGGACAATGATCTACTTCATGGCTTTTGCACTTTCTACTCATTCCCAGCCGTATTTATATTCGATGCTCTTTTTTTTCGAAAGAAGGCAGAAATATCCCCAATTGCTCTCTCAGCTGGCTGCTCTGACGCCCCCGCCACAAGGCTTTGTCGAATCCAACTTGGTAGTTTGTTCTGTATGCGTAGACTGCTATACCGTTTATCCATCATAAGGATCGCAGCGTAATCACCCTGGTGCCTGATTGCCCGACCAATACATTGGTTCACAGTCCTCATGCATGCATTCTCGTAGAACTCCCTCCCAGCAGCTTTCGCCTTCAACTTGCGATTTTGCTCCGAAATCTCTTTGCCCTTATGGTCCTGATCTAACGATGATGACAGGGATAAGTACGATTCATAGGCTTTGGACTCCACATGTTGTATTTTAGCTTGCCATACCGCACTACGGATGTTTGGAAACGGGAGCCCAACGACTATCACCCCTCTGCCCAGCTTATCAGAGAAATTGATTCCTTCAGACAACTTCCCACCCATAACTGACAAGAGCAACGCGCCACCCTGGGATCCAGTGCTAATGGCGCTAGAATAACCTTGAAGTAATTCGTCAACATCTGTAGCTTTGTCTTGGGACTCGTGGAAGACAGCTTTGGATCTTTGGATCGAATCGATGATGCTAGGTCCGGTAGTTGGGATGTGCTTCTTCCAGATCATCAAAACTAGGTTTAAGTAGTCGTAACTTGGGAAAAAAGCCACGACACCATCTGGTATAACACAGCACAATGCTGCGATGGTCTTGCCAAGATCAATTATCTGTAGCCGTCCAAAAATTAGCGACTTTTTCCTGGTGGATCATGAAAGTCCAAGATGAGAGATAGCGTATTCTCAACATACCATGCTCTCATCATTTCGTTTCCCGTAAGTAAAATCAAATTCGGTATTGCAAGTTCCCCTGACTACTGGGATTGCTGCCAGATTATCAGGCGGTATCACGTGGCCAAAGCTAAAAGTTTCGAGTCGACCTGTATCCAAATAGGGAAACAAATGTTCTGCATAATCTTCCATCTACCAAATAAACGAGACATCAACTTGTCACTTCCTTTTCGTCCAAGGGAACGGAATTTAACATACAGGTGACATTGTACCTCCCGCAAGAATCACACTCCTTGAGTCCTCTACGATTTCCCGAAAGTGATTGGTAGGATCCAATAACATGTATTTCAAGAAGACATCGTTCTGGCTAATCTCGTAAAAGAGTTTCCCCTCTGAGGATGGGTTCATCAATGAGAGAACGAAGCTTTGAACTTGAAAGAGAACAGGAACTGAAAGTCGAGTAGCATTTTTGTCCGCAGCTTGTGACTTCATAGATGACTGCTCAGTGAAGCCGTCGACTTTCCTCGCCAGTTTGCTTTTATGCAGATACCGTGATAACTTGTGTGGGTTTATTTGATCAACCCCTTTCCCCGTCATTATGTCAGACGGGAGGAGGACACCCTCTGCAGGCTGCGTTCTTTCCAGAACGATTTTCAAGTAATCAGATATCGAACTCACAAGCCGAATCACCTGGGTGACGTAGACCCTATTGCTCCCCTTTAAGTGAGTCTTATACTTCCTGGCGTAAGTGGTGAGCTGGTAGATGGCCAATTGAAGTTGAGATAGCGACACAGACACAGAATGTATATCGGAAATGGCGTCGATGAGATTATGGGCTTCATCAATAATTACGACGTGGTTTTTGAGAGAAATGTTTAAGGCATCCCTTGCTGATCTCTGGAGGAGAAGGGGGTATGGTAAAGTGACGATCTAATATAGTATCGTTAATTGAGCAGAGAAGTGATATGTTGATTAAAATGCAACAAACCTACTTCGCTAAATTTAATTATTGATCGAGAAGCGTAGTACGGGCATATCCCAATTTTAGATCCTATTTTACCGATATCCTCGATGTCTCGCACTTTTGCTAGCGTAAGGTCGCGAAAATCGTTGACAAGGGTTTCATTCTCCTTCGTGGGTAGAAATGGGCATCTATACTCCGCGGGTGTTTCAGAGCGCTGGATATCCAAACAGCGTTCGTTTACCGCCGTTGAGTTGCCAAGACCCCGTACCGTCGAATTGATACAGAGTGTCTTTCTCGACCCGAGAGAGAGATGTTTCGTGCTCTCTTCCAAGGCAACATCGGGATAGGATATATCTGTAGCTTTAACCTGATCACCTACCTCGGGAGGAATACTTGGCGGTAACTTTACTCGCCGCAACTCGTGGGCAAATTGAGTCAATTGAGAGTGTGTTCTCGAGCAGTAGAATACTCGAATCTCATCCTCCGGCTCGGAATCGGCGCGATCATCAACGGGCCCGCCATTTAGCTTCTCGAGTAAAGCAAGGGTATCAGCAGAGAGTACGCCTTTAGTGTTCGAAATCGCATCCACAGCCGTTCGTTCTTCGTTATCGCTATAATAGTCTTCTAATTCGAATTGGTTCTCATACCCCTGTTCGGAAGCATCGTTTCCCGCAGTCAATTTCTATTTATAAGGAGTAATTAGGATCGCCCATTTCTGTAATCTGTTGGATTATAACCTATTATAACCTACCCTTTTCTTAGAGGTATGGTTGCCGTCCACAAACTGCTTTCGCTGCCGTTCTTCATCTGCGCGGATTTTCGCCAAACGGGCTTCCAATTGCTCTCTCTTCTCCCGGATAAATCTTGTTTTCTCTCGCCGTGAGTATTCTAACATCCATTCTGGTTCACTATTAGCTAATATCTCTGTACATCAGCCTCAGATCCTCCATATCTATGAGGTTGGGATATAGCTGACAGAGTGACTGGTCAATTGTATTGAGGAACGCTGCGCGTTTATGACCACGGAGCCACGTTAAAGAGCCACATATTAAACTGAGCGATTTGCCCTACAGCAAAGCAAACACGTTAGATGCATGAAACACGCGTTTTTGGAGCAAGGTCTGGATATGCCGTTCTTGCAATCTCGTTTTCAATAACCCTTCTTTAGTGAAAAATCGATAAGAGGCAAAGGCTGAGGATTGAAAGAACACATCTCCGGCATTTCCAAATATTTAAAAAGAAACTCTAGCGAATTAGGACTTCCTATATGCTCATAGGATGTTTCCAGTCGACGGATGAGATGAACATACGGTACCTGAGATTTGTCAGACAACTTCTTCAACCTGTCCATTTGTAAGAGTAAAGCAAGGTACCTGTGGGCGACTCAAATATACCAACTTTGCCACCTTCAATACAGTCGAACAATGCTTGCATGAACTGGCGTTGGATGTCGTAAGGGATAAACGGGTGGTGGAAGTTTTTCTCGACGGTGTTCATGTTGGCGGAGAGTTGGTTCAACAACAGTCGAGATTCCGCTGAGGGAGCGATTTCTCTAGCCGGGTGGTATCCGCTATAATCTTCATCGTGCATTATACCGCGCATACCGACAGACACCTGTTCAAAGTTTGAGTTTGGAAAGTACAAGCTACGCCAAGACTTTAACCTCGCTAGCGTATTTCCCAAGATTGTCAAGGCGCTGAACATCTCTTTGCTGCTCCTGGCAAAATCTGTGCCAAATCTGTACATCAATGATATCTACACCTGCATGACTCGGGATGATGGCTAGGTATAAGAGTATGTTTAGAGCAAGATTTATGCTCCAATATTATTTACTTGGATTAGATGACAAGGAACATTCGTATAGGCTAGTTACACTTTAAAAACCCCTTGTCGTACGGGCAATGACGTGTGCGTCAAGCAGGTGAAACCAAATTTCTCCAACCCTATATAATGTTTATACTCAGTGTATTGTGCACATCCTGTCACGTTGCGCGCGGGCCGGGAGGTGTTAATCGCATCGTATTGTCGCGAGAATGGTTTCAGTCGAAGCTCCTCGGTATTCCTCGACCCTCCGTACCATTCGCCGCTCCCCCTTCTGTTTCTTCCTTAGCTTCTGGTTTGGCCATATACTAAAATGCGCATGTTGTTGTGGAACTCCTACAGACCTACATGCCTTCATTCTGCCGGGCAGAGTGGTAGAGGATACTTTAAGCGGAACCTAGAAGTGATGGAAAACTGAGTCCCTCCAAGACGGAATTTCAAAGCGAAACGAACATTATTTTGTGTCTTATTCTGGTCAGACATCAACTACTAGGTCAGAATTGAGAAGCCCAAGATCATGTCGCCTGGACGTCGCAATCCTTCAAAGCGCCCTTCCATTATTGTCTGATTTTCACCAGCACTTCGGGTTTCGTGGTTAATCTGGATCAGGGGAATCTCCTATGATTCTGATTGTATGTCCTTCTCGGCGTGTTCCGCCAGGCCACAGCCATCACTTTTGTCAGCAATTTGTTTATCCTCGAAGGGTGGGTATTATTGCAGTGAGGCTTTACGGAAGCCTGCAATTCCGAAAAAGAACGCGGAGCGAAGAGTAAAAATAAAAACGATTCCATAAACCATAAAACCAGCTGAGAAACAAAAATAGTGGTGGTGGCTGATGCGTGGCTGTTGAATCCAGATTTGTTAGTTACCTCTCGACTGGCTTCATTTCTACCTGGATAAGCAATTCGATGAATAACCCAAAAGCAGCCGGGTCATCCAAAGCAATACGAGAAGCTGAGCAAAAAGCTCTGGAAAGTTATCCGGGACAAGCCCATGAACATTCCCAAGCCAACAGCACAGAGCAATAGTATAGTAAGTTACAAATAGCAGTGAATTAGTTACTCCTAGGAGTTATCATACAAACGCCACAATAAGCTCCCAATCGTCAACAACAGCCGCACGGCACAACTGTTTTCAGCGCCTCTCACTGAGCAGCGGGTGGAGTGCGAACCTCGAATCCAGTGCCCGGATGACGCGCTCCCCATTTGCTCGGGCTCTTGTAGATGACCTCCAACTACACTGTGTGTCTGTTTCGCTCTTCCTGTTTTTGTGTTCTTGTCCTTGTTTTGTTCTCCGTTGGCGGTGTCAATCCCTTTCCAAGTAAGATCATAGACCTGAGAAGTAGCTCGATATAGCGGGGTTGAGGCTCAGCTCTCGCTGTTCTCAGAACATCTTCAATTTCTCACCCTGTCCATTACCTATCATTTTCTCGTCCTCCTCCGCACCGCCTTTCCCTCTGACAAGTCTCCTCTGTACCTCCATCGGCCTGATGAGCCCAGGATCATAGCTGGTTTGAATACATACCATGTCCACCACTGTATGAGAGGACCGCTCCTGCGAATAATACGAATAATACAACAGCCTTTACTCGTCTCAGCAAGGTTGCTTCGCAAATTGAATTAGCCGTTTCCACGCGAACAAAGGTGCACGCTCACCAGCAGGCCCATGTTGAACCCCCCAGCCCAAGAGGGGTTAGCAAAGCTTAGGCAGTGTGACAGCCAGAATATTATTGCTATTATTAAAACCCGCCATCCTCCGTCCCTCTTTTTGACGCCATGCCTGCTCACCATCAGTCTCCCAATCCTCATATGAGCGCCACTTTTTATCCAGGCAATGTTGATGCTTTCCAAATGCCAGAAGTGATTTCTCCAGCGCCTCAAAGGTAATATGATTTCCCTCATAGAATGAAAAAGGAAAAGAAAAAGAGTGTGAAATAACTCGAAAAAATAAAACACGTCCCAATCAAGGGCTTTCCAAAACTTAGAAGGAATCCCTCTCTTGATGCTCTCCCTGTCCACATACTTTCCACTTTTCTTCATTGTACTGTATTGGCTAACTCGGCTGTTATTAGGGTGATGCCAGAAGTCCCGGAAAATATGCAAGATAACCTCGCCCACCTCGAACGGGAAGCCTACACCCCAGGCCGTATGGCCAGCCAACATGCCCAGTACGATTACCAACAACCACAACCACAACAACAATACCCAAATCGAACATCGTCGGTCCCGAACCAAGGTTATCCGCAGGATGACCGGTCGTACTCAGACGCTTACGGCCAGGAAGCGTACGGACAACCTCTGCAGTCCTTGAGCGAACGGCCTAATTTCTCTCCGTTTCCCGTTCTGCGGAACCCCCCGCCCAATGTCCCTCCAACCGATGATCAACGAGAAGCAAATTTAGAGAGTGGCCGCAATGCAGTCCTGAATTCAAGTGACCCAGAAATGCAACTTGCATGGGCTCAAGATGCCCTTTCATATGTCGAAGTTGCCATGCAAAACGAGATCCGCATGGCCGCCTTCCAACCCCCTAGACCGCAAACCCCACAGATTGAGCGCCAACTGAAAACTGACGCCATCAATGTCGTTTCTTTCCTGGCTGAGCAGAGTCACCCTAGAGCGTTGTTTATCAAAGCAATGTGGCTAGAATTTGGAAAATTTGGTTTCCGCGTTGATAAAAAGGAGGCTTTTCTATGTTACTCTCAAGCAAGTGAGAAAGGGTATGCAAGGGCGGAATACCGTATGGGCATGCAATTTGAAAATTCAGGCGAACCTCTTAAAGCGATCAAACACTATGAGCGTGGTGTCAGTCTAGGGGATTCTGCTTCTAACTATGTAAGGGTGACCTCGTTGATGAAGTAAAATAATTTACAATCTAGAACCTACGGTAACTCACAACTTTTCATAGAGACTTGGCATGATGATCCTCCTAGGGCAACATGGACAACGCCAGGACTATGCTGCAGGTTTAGATCATATTCGATATGCCGCACAAACCTGCGACGAAAATGCTCCTCAGGGAGCCTACGTAAGTCTCATGTTTCCGTTTTTGGGCTATAAGGGTCCCTTGCTGATGTTACTTCGTTCTTTAGGTATACGGAATGCTACTGGCTCGTGAGCTGCCCCAGGTTGTTGTTCCAGACGAATATCTTCCGTGGGATTTAAATGCTGCCAGGATTAACATCGAGAAAGCGGCCTACCATGGGTTTGCAAAAGCTCAAGTGAAAATGGGAGCTGCTTACGAACTCTGTCAACTAGGCTGTGATTTTAACCCTGCTTTATCTCTTCATTATAATGCTCTTGCCGCACGACAAGGTGAACCTGAGGCTGAAATGGCAATCAGTAAATGGTTTCTATGCGGACATGAGGGGCTTTTTGAGAAAAATGACGAGATGGCGTATACCTATGCGAAACGGGCTGCTCAGAGTGGACTGGCAACAGCAGAATTCGCCCTCGGCTACTTTCATGAGATTGGAATATACGTTCCGGTAAATATCAAGGAAGCGAGGATCTGGTACGCAAAGGCCGCAGCTAGGGGTAACAAGGATGCTAGCTCCCGGATCGAGAGTATATCTCGTTCCAAAACCCTATCAAGAAAGGATCACGAGCGCGTTGCCATAGCGCGCATAAAATCGCAGTATGCTTCCCATGGACGGGCTCAACGCTTTGCGGAACCCCAGAGCGTGCAACCTATTCAACAAGATACCTTGGAAATGCCAGACCCATCGCGCATGACAATTTCCAGTAGAGAGCCTAGGAACCATCGACCAATGTCGGCAGCACCATATCCAGAAGCACCTAACACCGGTTATGTCAACCCCCCAGGTCATTACAGTCCAAACATGCGATCATCCTCTGCCTTTGGATTCAATCCGAACATCCGCCCTCATTCTGTCAATCCGGGCGGACCCATGCAAGCCCATAACCCGCCGCCCGCTGGCGGACCAGTACATCCACAAGCCCAAGGTCTCCGACCAGAACCCGGAACGCCAAAACTGGACATCGGCTACTCCGCACCTCCAGACCCTTCCGGTGCTGACCGAAGAAGGCGCCTTCAGCGCCCTGACCACTCAAATCACAATGTGTCCATGCAATCCATTGGCCCGGGCCATGGTGGTGTTTCGCACCCAGACCCTCGAGGAAATCGTTTGCCCTCCTCCTCACATCCACCTTCAGGCGTCCACTACCCCCCTCGTGGTGAATCGAAGCCTCTGAAGACTTCCCCCCCTGCCTCGTCAATGGTGCGACCTGGTCAGAACCCCTCTCATTCGTCTTCCCATGCGTCACAAAAGCCGGCGGGTGGACTACCTGGCAAAGGACCTAAAACATTCGAGGAGATGGGAGTGCCACAAGGCAAGGGTGATAGTGATTGTGTAAGTAACTCGGTCATCAAAATTAGTTTTGCTGTTGTACCAGACAATACATAACTGACAAATACTTTTTGCAGATCGTGATGTGATGCTTGCCTTCCAATCCGCTTAATTTAGACTTGATACCTCATTTACTTTGATTTCATTTATTTGTTGTTTCCCCTGTCAGTTTCAACCCATTTTCAGCAGGTGCAGCGATATGGAGTTTCTTTCTCGCTTCTTTCGATCTGAAAACTATTTACCTTCCTAACGCCTGATTGCCGCTTCCACTTTCACCCACACGACTTTTATTCCTTCAAGTGGCTTTCTTTCTACAAGCGCGATCAGTTTTCTCGCTTCTTTTCCTTACACAAGGACAGCAACTACCTCTCCGATGCCTCTCATGCGAGCCCGCCTGTAAAGCTCCGCGCTCTCGACCTCGATCCCGTCAAAGCGATCATACCTCTTCGATCTGTTCTAATCTCAAATATTGTTCTGCTGCCCGCCCTGCTCAGGCATCACTCCTTCAGTTCACATTAGAAGCGTACACCCCTTATTCCTCGAACCACTCGTCTTCAAAAAAACAAAAACGAAGAAAATAATAGTTTCTGTTCCATGTTATTTTTGAAAGCAATTATTTTCTAAAACCACCCCGGCCTTGGTTCGCAATGAATAATCACCAATTCATTTCAACATTTTATCTCTCTTACTATATCTCTATCTTGTTGCCGTTCTACCTACCTCTTTCGCTCCATGACTATTTAGAGATGAGCATGGGCATGATTTTCCATGCAAGAACCCGTTTATTCCAATACACTCTACAAAAGAGAGAAAGAGAAAGGTTCTACATTACTCCTGCTCACAATGGGCTGTTGGATAAATGTTTTTGGTTGTTCGATTCGTTGAATAGATTTCCGTTTTCTCTTGAAAATTCCGTTGTTTATCCTGCTGACAACCTGTACCTTTTTGTTTATGCGTGCATTTCCCAAGATCTGATTTGAGAACCGTCTATCGATATACGTTTATTCCTATAAAAGTTGATGGGACTTTTACTTCTTCATCTTTTTCCTCTTTATATAAAACATTAGGTAAATAATAAAAAGGCCGAGCAAACAAAACATGTGTTCTAGGAACATATCGCTTGGCACGTGATCACTCCTTTACATGGATCGGTTGACCCCTTATCCATATAGTAACCTTCATCTATCTGTGCTGCCTCTTGCGCCTCGTCTGTCTTCTCCCTTCCTCCGGCTGCCTTCTGTTTCCAAGCCTAAGGTTGGTATTGTATGTAACGTATGCAGAGTCATTGAAGCAAGCACGTATTCCTATTCCACTCTATAGCCCCTGGGGGATCGGAGTCGAAACAGGTTGACGTGTTGCATGTCACTGCGCGACTGAGCTCTCCCAGTTTTCCCTTATCCCTACTCCATCTTTCATTCTCTCTCTCTCTCTCTCTTTCTCTCTCCTGTTAATGAGGATGGGGTATGGATACTGTTCAACACCAGTGTATCCTGTATACTATATGCCATTATACTGACATTCTAGCTTGCAGGAGGCTGACAGGTAGACAAGTGGCATGTCTACATGTAGACACAGCAATATCATCTCATCTCATCTCGAGGACATGGCACCACGCAAAGAGAAAAATGATAAGAATAGTAAGGATAAAGGGGAAGATGGTGAGGAAGTTTCTAGTTTCATCTGTCTTCACTCTTCCTATACAACAGTCTTCCCATGTCTAGTTACCGATCTTTTGCAAATGCCCTTCTTTCTTTAAACGCGTAACCTTCCGTTTTGTTTCCTGCCTCCATGCATATACACCCAGGTTAGTTGACGACGTTCAATAGGAGCAACTATGATCCTAGAGTACCTTCGTGAGTTCCTTTTTCGTTGAAGAACATGGAGCAAGCAAACAAGGCATAATTCCCATTAACTTGCCTGCCCTCGCCATTTCATTATTTTTATAACTACATTCACGTGCACGATTGTCGGTTCGAGATTGACTTACAATCTAAATATTTCCTGGTATCCGGAATTGCTATTGTATTGCATAGGTCAGCAGAAGTAGGTGTAAACTACCAGACGCTCCTCGTTGTCTACTTGACTTGCTGTTCTTGGATAGTTAAAAATTACTGAGGCAAACTTACATTGGATTGATAGTCGACCATATTCAGTGAGTGGGTTATGTTTCTTGCCTCGCCGGTGCTATTACTTGTCTCTTAACAAACCCTCAATACACCAACCCGAAGGCGACCGATATTACTGCCAATTTGCACAACAAAGTAAGCAAAGGTACGATCCCTTCCGTCAGAGTATTAATTATATTTTGGATTTTTAAGATGGGGATGTTTTTTCCAACCTGAGAAATACACATATATATGTGTATATATTGGACAAATAGCATATACCGTCAAAGCGTTGAAGGAGATGCACGAGCGGAAGGAGGTCCAGGGACGTATTGCCGGTATGTGATGTACATACTCTATATGACCCTTCGATCATTCCTAACAGGCAACATCCCACAGGCAAACAAATCGTCTACCACGCCCTCCAAGACGTCCCGTCAGACTCCACCTCAGCTCAACTTGCCGCCCTCGACTGTGAGCTAACCGACCTCCGCGCTCAAATTGCCTCGACAAAACAACATGAGAAATCACTCCGTGCGGAACTGGCAGCCCTCAGCGCCCATGTACCCACGGGAAAACTACGAGAGATGGTATCCAGGCTGGAAATGGAAAGGGAAGAGGTGTTAAGCCGCCTTTCGCTGTTGAGGAGTGGGAGGGTTGCAACGAGGGTTGTTTCAGCGGTGGAGCAAGAAACAGTCAATGGGGAGTGGAGGGTGTGGAAGGGCAGAGTTGTGGTGAGGAAGAGGATCTGTAAAGATATGTGGGAGAAATGTTCTGAGGCGCTGCCAGAAGGGTTTCAGAGAATCGAGGAGTTGTGGGAGACTTTAGGGTTAGATGGCATGTTGTAAAGAGGAGAGGATTGCCAGGGAGAGCTATGTATCTTTCTTTCCTGAAGGTTTTTATACTTTTCCACTCATATTAGGAGCTAGCAAACAGTTGATCCAGCTTCTGTTTCGTATATTTAATCTCACTGCCACAATACACAATTCCCAACTAGTGCCCGGCAGCTGACTGACAGCCTGCGGGATCATGCGTTGAGAACAAGTAGGTGAAAAGCTGATCAGATGGACAGGAGCTCGTGGTGAGGGGATTGCTGGGCGGCTATCTGCCAACTTATCGTGTAAGAGGTCAACTTCCAGATGTTCCCAGCTACGCATCAACATCAACAACAAGCATCGATTTAGTAAGCTTCTACTCTCTTCTGTTCTGGGGACTAATAATTAATCCATGGAATAGATGTCTCGAAGCTGGGATTCGCAAGGCAGAGAGAACCCTGGAATAAAATAAAATAGTGTTGGTGAGTCTCCTTGCCCTGGGATGCCCCACCATCGCCAATCGCCGACCCAAATCCTTAGGCTTGGGATCTAAATAAATCTCTGCCTAACACTAAACCTTCGCGTCTTTCTCTCTTCTGGTCGCCTCCCGTCTACTGTCTAGATATCACGCCCAACTTACAGATACCACGGCAGCATTCTCCAACGTCCCTTCTACAGCTTATCCTATCTTCCCTCTCATTCTAGAGTGTCCTACAGCAGCAGCCTCAACAACTGTAGCAACACGTTATCAACAGCAACCAGAACCACAGCTACCCAAGCACCAACAGACCAGCTACCTACACACACTCTCATCACGCAAACAGTAGCGTTGCTCGTTTTCTTCCATCTCGAATGACAAACGATCTACGAAATCACACCCCACTACCGGCACCCTCGGGCTCTACCGCGCATATGCAGAATGGTCATGTCCGCAACATGTCAGGGCTTCCGCCTTTTGACATGGCCCGCAGCCCTCCGAATCCTACCAGCAAGAGTCTGTTCTCCCTGATGATTCCTTCCTCCATATTCTATTGTGTATCTATAATGTGGCTGATCCAATCCCATTTTCAGATACCAAACATGTTCCCTGCAAATTCTTCCGGCAAGGGGCCTGTCAAGCTGGCCCCGCCTGTCCTTTCCTCCACTCAACCGACTCCACCATCGATTCCGCTCCTTGCAAGTATTTTACAAAGGTATCTGCCTATGCCCCTCTCTTCCTTACGGTGCAAAAAATCTGACTAGTGCTATGTAGGGCAACTGCAAGTTCGGAGCAAAGTGCGCACTAGCGCATATCCTCCCGGATGGGCGGCGCGTTAACAGACCAAATCTTCCCATGGGAATGAGCGGCAGCCATCTAAATCTAGGTGGTCGTGTAAATCCCCCACCGTACCACACCCAAGACTCCGCCCTCGCAAACTCCTTACTCTCCCAACAACGGATAAATGGTCATCCCGCGCGATTCTCGTATCCGTATCCAGGCCAGGAAGATCTATATGACCAAACCCAGCAAGCGCCCAGCCCTTACGATGTTGATATCCCGACGATAGATGCGGGGCTTGTGTCCGATACAGGCTCCAAGTACGGCTCCCCCATCGAGGAACCGAGGCTCCCAATGTCACCAATCGGTCGCACAGCTCTCGATGCGCCTCTGCCAGCCTCTTTCGATAGCCAGGGGATATCATACATGGCACGACACGGCCCCGTAGCTGCCTCCCTTCCCTCCAAATTTGGCCTTGATCTGTCCTCACCCCCTCCCCAACGGGCCGGTCCCCCTCCGGACGTGGTCCGTAATCTTCATGATATTGCATTTGGATTTGATTCGCGGAAGCCATCGAATCTCGGCTCCTCGCCCCCCGTCTTTCACGATGAGGGATCAGCCCCCCGACTGATGCATTCGCAGCGTGTGACAAGAACAAAGATCCTTTCAGCAAGCCTGCCGCGCCCAACCGCTTTGGGTGATTGGGATGACAGCTTCACTTTAGAGGAGGATTACTTGCCGACGAACTTGCACGACGACGTGCTTACCCCACAAGAAAGGATGAGACGGCTGTCACGGACGGAGCAAGATAACAACAGCAGCACTAGGGATTTCAGTGGCCTAGGTATACCCGGAACAGGGTCCAGCAAAGTCGGGTCACCGCTTGCCTCCAGCCCATCACGATTTGGTGCAATATTTGCGAAACAGCGACAGAGGAAAGAGGAGGAAGGCCACGGCCTAGGTCATGTTGGCTCTCCCCTTCGCGAATCGTCCTTGAATTTCCAAGCCGCCAGCCCCAGCCCCAATCTACGCCCGATCGGCAGCCGCCCTAGCTCCGGAGATGTCTCCCCTTTCATTGCCAGCCCTTCCCGCCAATCTTCCATGTCTATGATCTCGCAACAGCTCAGCAGCACCTCGCTACATCCCAGCTCAGCCCGACACGCCTCTTCAGTTGGCGTGGGTGGCAGCGGCCTTGGCTCTGGTTCTGGACGACTGGACCGCACCATTTCCTCTCCCATCAGTACCAGCAGGATCGATGAGGAACAGAGTGATCTTGTATTTTCCATGGAAGAAGAGGAAAATAACAAACGGAATAGCGTCATCTGGAATACGAATACGAATACCGATAACCACAATACCAATACCAATACCAATACCAGCGTCACAAGCGGGAATAATGCTGGTAGTATTAATAATAGGGAGGCCCTCGACGAGCAAGACCACAGATAGTGCCTCGACGGCGCCTAATGCAAGAGGGGGTCGGTCTCAGCGACAGCAACAGGAGCACGCCGTGGCTACTGCAACAATACAGAGTCAGCTAGAGAGTAGTGGTACGAAAGGGAAGACACTTCTAAAGGAGATGGAGTCGCTCTATGGTGGGGGACGCGCATAAAATTTTGAGAAAAATCCTCTTGACAAAATTGAACAAAAAAAAGTTTTCTATGTTTTATCACCTGACAATTTCCCGGCCATTTACATATAATATAATATTATATATATATATATATTATTATTATTATTATTATTACCATCATTGTTATTATTCCATTTGCTTTTTTAAATATTTATATCAACTTCATTTATAAAAGTTTATTATTTTATATACTTTGATGTGTTAATGTGCATCTTTTGCTGCTGCTTTCAACAAATCAAATATGAAATTTATAGTTTCAATCAAAGCCTTGAAATCATAAACAAGCTCAATTTTTTGAATTAAACAATATAAATATTTTCAATTGATTTTTATTGCCTTCATCAATAACTGCAAAGCAAATTTGAAAAAATTTTATTTGAAATTTGAAAAAAACATTTAATGAATAATGTTTTGACATCTGCAGGGATGGATTTTCAAAATTCATTAAATTATTTCATCAATTTTTAATCAAATTAATTCACATTTGAATCAATGATAAATTTATTTTATATTTATGAGGGTTGACAACAGTATGAAAAGTGAATAGTAAAAGATAATAAGCAGTGTATATTAAAGTAATAAATAATGATAATAATAGAAGATGATAATAGTGGTAATAATAGTAATTAATTGTTAAAAAAGAAAAGAAAGAGAAAAGTAGATGTGCAAAGTACATGCAGATGTATATATATATATATATATATGAAAATAATAATAATATGTATGTATGTATGTATAGGTTTAACGTCCCGGAGAAAACACGGGCAGCGCCCGTGTTTCAGAAGCCTCCCGAAGGGCATGGAGACGTGCTACGCTGGAGAGATTTCTATGTACACAGAGAGAGAAAACAGAATCCAGGTGGCAACTCTTGAGAAGACTCAGCTCATTGCAAAGGATTTTTCTGAGCTGCGCATCCACTTCTGGCCCGACGTATGGCCATTCATGGTGGGGCTATAGTGTGGTTCCCTGAGGGGACCGCCGCTGCCGTGCCTGGAAGGCTTTATAGTGAGCAGAGAGGGATACCTCTCTCAGTTGATCAGAAAGCTGTCTGTGCTTCTAACATCAGAAGAAAGACAGACAAGATAAATAATGAAGGAGAGAGCACTGAAGAAGGTTGTGACAGGAAAAGAGCAGAGAATGACAGAGAGAGCAAAGAAAAGAAGGAAGAAGAAGCATTTGAGCCGATAGAGACAAGGGCAAACGAGAGGAAAACAAAGCAGAGCACGCGTAGATACAATGCCGGCAGTCAAAACCATATCAGCTGAGTCAGACACGTAGACTGTACTGATTACACCACAGCTAATTGAGACAGATGAGCTCAGTTGTGCTATCTGTACTGTCTGCATAGACTGTGATGTCCCTGGCAGTTGCACTAGCTACCGTGGGTGTACTCAGCAGGCCGGCCTCGTGGAACTGCTGCGGGGGTTGTCAGATGGTTTGCAGCCAGCCGGCTGCGTTACCTTGTGCAGTACCGTGTGTAGAACTGCGTGCAGTCCAGCAGTTCTACAAAGTCTGTAGGGGTCAGAGACCCTAGATAGGCAACAGCTGTCGCCCGGTTGTGTGGCCGTGCTGCTGGCCTCTTGGGCCAGTGAAGAAAGTGCCTCTGTGAGTGTCGACAGAGCACCAAATGTTCTGGGCTCTTGTTGTGTCCACAGACACAGGTACAATGATATTAACTGTAGAGATGTTGTTAACATTTTTTAATTGATTATAAATATGATATAAACTGTTTAACTGTTTGATTTTTCTGTTATTTCATACTTCAATATTATATATTTACATCTTAAAAGCTTTTATTCAGATCAGTAATTTAACATTACATTCAGTTAACAAATTTCTTTCAAAATGATAAAGATTGTATATTATATATATATTGATATTAACATTGTTGCATCTCAATATCAAAGTGAATAATTGTTTTGATAATTTTATAGTGATTGTATTCCTTGTAACAATTAAGATCACTGATATGAAAAGTGATAGCAGATGTAATAAAATTTCAAACTTTTTTATATTTTAATTTTAAAATTTCTCTACATTTCTTCAAGAAAAATGATGATTCATATCCTGATGAATTTTAAAATTTCAATTATCAAAGTGATACTCAGCTACATCTTTTATTGAGAATAATTATATAATTTTTTATTAAAATATTTAATATTTTTCACATAGATTCTGATAATTTAAAGATATTTGTAACATTCTCATAATTAAATTTATATTAATTACATTTCTGTTATGATTTGAAAGTGTTTTAAATGTATTTTAAATAATTGAAATTATCTCATTCAATTTCTACATTAAAATATCATATTGATGTTGAAATTTTTATAATTCTTTTTATATTTATAGTTTTTCAATTTATTTGATATAATGCATTCGCTTATTATTTCCTTATTATATTATCTTTGCTTATTCTTACCTTTTTCCATTATGTTCTCGCTACCACAATTTTTATATGTATATATATATGAATGTATATATTTTACACATCTTCTTTTCTCTTTCTTTTCCTTCTTAGTGATTAATTACTACTATTATTACTACTACAATTACTATTGTTATTACCATCCACTACACTATCTATTATCTTTTATTATTTACTTTTCACACTGTCATCATCCTTCACATTTGATTACAACAATCTTCTCAGTTTTGATTGCATTCGGATTTTCAGAGAAGATAGCTTTTTCAAAATTATATTTTAAACTTGATTTTTTTAAAAAGAAAAATGTTTGTAATATGTTTTTAAATTTATAAACATATTTTATCTATTTTATGAATGATATTGATTGCTTCAAACTTGAAAATGATATGAGTATGCTGAACATTATATATACAAATCATAACTATTACTCAACAAACTGTTTCTTGAAGATTGAGTGATTAGAAACTATGAGAATTGATAGCAATATAAAAAATAAATAATAAAAAATAATGCACAGTGTGTATACATATAGTAATGTAATGCACTCGTTTATTATTTCCTTATTATTATATTATCTTTGTTTATATCTTCGTCTATTCTTACCTCTTTCCATTATACTCTCGCTACCACTATTTCTATATGTATATATATATAGATGCATGTATTTCGCACATCTTCTTTCTCTTTCTTTTCCTCTTCAGCGATTAGCTACAACTACAACTACAACTACAACTACAACTACAACTACAACTACAGCTACAACTACAGCTACAACTACAGCTACAGCTACAACTTCAACTATACTACTACTATAATTATTATTACTATTATCTTCTACTACACTATATACTATCTTCTACTATTCACTCTTCACACTGTCATCACCCCTCACAAGTAAATTGAAGTAATAGTAAAAGATAATAGTAGTAATAACAGTAATAATAATAATTAATCATTAAAAAAGGAAAGAAAGAGAATGAAAATATGCAGAGTACATATGAATGTATATATATAGATATGAAAATAATGATAATAAGAATATGATAAAAAGCAATAATAAATAAAGATATAAAGAAATAATAAATCAATATATAAGTAAATGATAAGCAAGTGCATTACAATCATAATCAATTTCAGATCAAATTTTAATTTTTTATAATCAATCATTTTACATGAAATATTAAAATCTGTTAATTTTAATTTTATTATATTAGATTGAAATCTGATTTTTTTACACTTCATTTTTGAAAATTTTAATCTCTTTACACTCTCATTCTGATTCTGATTTCATTTACAATCATATAAAAAAATGAATTGAAATCAAATCAAATCAAATCAAATGTGTAATTCATGATTTCATCAGCCAGTCTATTAGCAGCTATTTCAATCTTTTAAAAATCGG